TTTCTCATTTGGCCATTACTTACATGAATAAAAGCAGTTGCAAGAATAACACCAGTACCAAAATGTTTTGTGGCTAAATATAATTGCAAAAATAACAATAACACATAGATTAATATTATATAATTACAATATATGAATGTTTATATTTTAACTATACTTACAGAAAGAAACTAACTTTGGAACCCTCCATTTGGAACTTCTATCAGCGATAACCGGAATAAAAGCACCTAGCATTTAATGTGTTATTAAATGTTAATAATTAATAATAATGTTATAATTAATATCAAGAGAATCAAATAAATAGTTATTTATTTTTACCCATTGAGCTTGTTACAAGAATTATAAAAAATGAAGCAATATGAAGGCTTAAATTATATTCTTCAGCTATATAACCATTATCACTGCAAGAATCAGATCCTTCATCTGTTGTGGTTGCATTTTGATCAGGGTCGGGGTTGGTGTTGTTTACACCTAATGACAAACCATAAATATTAATATTATCATTATTTGGTGAAAGTTTTAAATATATTATTTTTATATAAAAACGTAACAATATTGTATACCTGGAGTTTGAGCATATGCAAAATTAAGAAATGCAGAAAATGCAAAGAAAAAAGTAGGATAAATATACATCGAGTGAATAGGTTTACAATAAGCTAGAGACATATTCATAAAATACTTTTGATTTTCAGGATGTTAAAGAAAAGAATAAAGTGAAAAAGAAAAATAATTATTGATAAAACATGAAGTAGAAGGAAAAAATTAATTAATATTAATTAATGCGGGAGAGAAAAGGAACTAACTAATGAGGTACTCACTCGCTCACATATTATATTATTAATACATAACTATTAGGGTACACTAATAATAATGATTAGACTTTGGTATTTTTGAATTTTTTAATATTTATTTATTAACTACTTGATAAATTTCCAATTCATCAAATTTACTACCATTTACTATATTGATGTTATAATCATAAAAAAAAAAAATTTTTATACAATTAAAAAAATTATTTAAAAATGTCTCAACAATCATCTTCCTCCAAAAAATGTGTATATATTACTGCAGTACAAAAACGCGGATTATGTATCTTAAAAAAAAAAATAACCCGAACCAAGAAATATTGATTTAGCGAACCAGTTTTGAATCGGCGCAAGCTAAGTTAGTGACATATTAAAGGAGTCTGACAAATGGCTTAAAATCGATCCAAATTCCCATCGAGCAAAATTAAAAAGACCATTTATTGCACCATTTACTAACATTGAAGATGCTTTAATTTTATGGATTGAAAAGGCTCTTGAATGTAATTTAACAATTACAGATTCCATTATTAAACACAAATGTATGAAACTTGCAGAGTTGTTAAGTAATCAAGGTTTTAGTGGTTCCTCTGGTTGGTTAATTTATTATTATTTTATTCGGTCGCGTTTACTTCGTCGAAAATTGTTTCGTCGACATCATTTCGTCGACACCCATTTCGTCGAAAGTTTGTTTCGTCGAAAGTTCGTTTCGTCGAAAATTATTTCATCCTCGAGCCAGAGACCGAACGAGTTAGATGCGAGGAGTGTGGGAAGTTAGTTAAGAAATTAGGTGAGGAAAGCGGAGTGTGTGGGAAGTGTGAGGAGAAATTTGTTTAATGAGGTTTTTTTTGTGACGAAATAATTTTCGACGAAATGAGCTTTCGATGAAACAAACTTTCGACGAAATGGGTGTCGACGAAATGAATCAGACCCAATAATAATGGAAAGCCCGATTTATATGTCTATATATAAATTATTATTGTATATAACAGGTTCTCTCTACAGTCCACTCTCTATAATGTACTGAAAATTTAAGTCCAATTTATGTGTATATATATAAATTATTATTATTGTCTATAACGGACATTTTTTCCTAAACCGAATGGTTCATTATAGAGAAAAAAATTATTATAATAAATATTTTCTAGATGTTAAATTAAATTTTTAATTTTTAAAACGAATTACTTTGAACTGGATTGGGCTCTCCGTGAAAAACGAAATTTTTGGAAAGCATGGTGGAAGTAATGCATGTCTGAGCAAGTAAAACAACTTCTAAGAGCCTATTTTTTGTCAGGAAATGTAGATAAGAAATGTTTACAGATCTAAAACAATGAGCAGAAGCAAGTGAGTTGGATGCAACGTTTTAGTAGAGAACATAAAAAAGAATCATTATTTTTGTATTATGTTGATTTTTACGCCCATAATCCCCAATCAAGATTGAAATAGTGCAAAAACGGCTTGAAAAAAAAAATTTTTTTTTAATAAAAATGTTCACAACAGTCTTTTTATTGATATCCAAATGTTTTTTTTTGCAAAAATGTAAGTGGAAACATCATGCTATGAATTAATTTATTTTACAATTGGTGACCATCGTTGGCAAACTTCGCAAAATTACAAAACTCAAAATAACTCTAAACTATATGATTGATATATTCAAATAAAAATTTATGTTTTAGTTTCAATTTTTTATGCTCTTTAAACTTACAGTGGTGTGCAAAAAAAATGACAATTTTTAAAATTATTATAGTTTCGCAACCATTACACCAATTTAACTGTATTGTTTTAAAGCTAAAAGGCAATAGATTTTATTAAAAAAAAATAATCCGTTCACCATTTTTCTCAATAACTTCGTTACAACGTTGTGGCATTGAATCTACAAGACTAATTAGAAGACTATTTGGAATTTTGTCCCACTCCTCACCAAAAAGACTTTCTAATTCAGTAAGATTTTTGGGTCTACGCTTCTCCGCGTTTCTTTTGACAATGGCCCAAAGGTTCTCAATTGGATTTAGGTCGGGACTATTAGAGTGCCAGTCCATAACCTCTGGGACATTATTACCTGGGAAATACGGCTAGTATGCTTAGGGTAATTGTCTTGCTGTAACCGCCATTCACCCCTCAGCATACTATTTATCTCCGGGATATGCTCTTCCAATATTTCTGTATTATGCACCTAAAACAAGTTAGACATGTTTTACCTTTTACACAGAAACCACCCCATGCGAATGTTTTACTTTGGTCTTTTGGCATAGGGTGAATTGGTCTTGCATTCTTATACCAATGCTTTATTGTATTACGAAACAATTGGAAAGATGTTTCATCACTAAATAATGTCTTTTCCCAATTGTCATCTTTGTGTTTTTGTGCCCATTCAACATGTTTTTGCTTATGGACTGATGTGAGCATTGATATAGAAAGGGGAAGAGCATTCCAGTATCCAATGTCAGTCAGGTGCCTTGGTACTGTTGAGCGAGAGACGTTTATTCCAGTATCCTCCAAATTTTCAGCAATAGATCCAGCAGAAAGTGTAGGATTCCTTCTAATATACTGCCAATTGCACGGGAAGCATTGGTTGTTATTTTCTTAATACGACCATTACCCACCTTTGCATTTTGATCAGGGTCGGGGTTGGTGTTGTTTACACCTAATGACAAACCATAAATATTAATATTATCATTATTTGGTGAAAGTTTTAAATATATTATTTTTATATAAAAACGTAACAATATTGTATACCTGGAGTTTGAGCATATGCAAAATTAAGAAATGCAGAAAATGCAAAGAAAAAAGTAGGATAAATATACATCGAGTGAATAGGTTTACAATAAGCTAGAGACATATTCATAAAATACTTTTGATTTTCAGGATGTTAAAGAAAAGAAGAAAGTGAAAAAGAAAAATAATTATTGATAAAACATGAAGTAGAAGGAAAAAATTAATTAATATTAATTAATGCGGGAGAGAAAAGGAACTAACTAATGAGGTACTCACTCGCTCACATATTATATTATTAATACATAACTATTAGGGTACATGCATAATTAAAGTTTCTTTTATATAAGACTTCTTTATGCAACAAATAAAAAAGCCGAGATGATGATTATTAAGTTATTCCCTTTTTCGATATCAGAAAGATCAGAATCTTTTTTTTACATCATTAATTTCCCATTTAAAATATTTTATTTTTTCCAAATAAAAAATCAACCAATAGGATTTTTGTTTAACAACAATAATTAGGCAGGTATCCCCCACATGTGTATTATTTAACTGATTATCTTGGAAATAAAACAGGATTTATCTCGTAAGTTTATACAACATTAACAAACATATTCGCGCCCATATTTTAAATTATATAAATATTAATATTAACATTATTAATAGGGAATTGTTATTCTCACCCCTCCCGTGACTAAGTGTAGTAATGTGACCAATGAATGGCTTTAAATGTGATGATGTATTGTCTTAGTCACGGGAGGGGTACGAATAGCAAAAATGTGATGTGCGAATAACAATTCTCTATTAATATTATTAATTTAAAATTCCTTTGTTGTTTTGTCAACAATTAATTCGTGAAACGTATATGCAGTGTTGTGCATCCCAATTGTTTCAATGTGGTTCCAATTATTTTCAAACTATAGTTTTAAAATTGTGCGAAAGCCAAAAGGTTTCGCCATAAGTCGGAATTAATTTTGAATTTTGATTTAGTCTCAAAATAGTTTTAACGACCAACACCGGTCCCAACGAAGTTTAATTAACATGTCTCAAAGATAAATTTCTTTGGTCAGTAATTTACATCAGAACTAAACATTGTTTGCTAATCAATAGAAATAATCTATTGTGTTATTGAATTGTTATTCAGTATGTCTAACGTGTTTCAACAGGGCTCCAAAATAGAATAGTGAACAACCATGCCGTACAAAAGAAAAATGTTCGTTCGTTGCAAAGCGCAAGACGTAGATGCAATCGTAACCCAGAGATTTTTTTAAAAGCATTTACATCATACGTAGCTACACCTAAACTGATACAAGATTAAATCATTGCCAGAAAGTTATTTTAAAGAAAAACTTTTAAAAGTAGTTTTCCCCCAATCACTATTCAATAAATATTATAAATATAAAATTATTTAATTGAGATCACAAATTAAGTGATATTAGACTTATTAGTCGTTTGGGTTCAATAGAAAAGGACCATAATGTGAAAAAGAAATTTTGAGTTAATGCCATCACTATATTATTTATATACTATAATAATAAAAATAACAAAAATACAAAAACAGTACTAATTAATAAGGGAAAGCAGCATGGTACATAATAAGTCATTTAGTTTTATTTTTTCTATATATGTAGAATAAGTAAACAGATGCATAGGCTTGTTATTTGTCTACCATACAACATAATTACTAAAAAAATCAAAGAGATCTTTCTGTTTTTATTTGGTATTTTTATTATTACACAATTTATTTTTAATAAAAAAAAAGATAGATAAAAAATTTTTTGTCCACTACTTTATCAAAATTGAATTATAAATTTTCTAAATGATACTATACACGAATTATCCTTGATTAGCCGAGAAATTGCGCCTAGTGTGTAATTTCAGTTCAATAATTTTGAACACTTGTGTATACGGTGCGGGTCCCCATTATTTGTGCCATCGGAAAAATGTTTGAATTTAAAATTTTTTTTGTTCTAAATATTAACATTGTTTTCTGTGGACCATAATAATCACCTAGCCAAGATTGGCTAAAAAATTTTTGTTTGTTTTAGTGCAGATCGTCTATTTAAATTCGAAAATTCTAAATTATTGCTTTTAAGTTTATGTCAAGCAACTTTGATTCTCTAAATCTTTATTTGCCAAATTCTAAAGAGTGCTGGAAGAATCTTCGACTTTGTTTGGACACATTTAATAAAGGTACAGAAAGATATTCTGACAAGTATGATTCTACTTCAAGGTTGGGTGACGAAAAATTTCGTCAAATGGGCACATGTGACGAAACGTGATGAAACGTGACGAAATGTGACAAAGGGTAAAGTCAAAAGTCAAAAAATGTATGATAATTATAAAATCTTAGATTTAATTAAAACGAAAATTTAATTTTAAACATTTTTTACATCGTAAATCATTGGATATGATTTTAATTTTACAAACATAGTCGATCACATATATATATATTAATATATATGACAATTTTTTGCCGATATTTTTTCAATAGTAAACTTTGAACGATTATAACTCTTTAAAGAATAGAGATACTGACTCCGAGTTAAGTTTAAAACATATTAGAGAAATTGGACAATAAGGTAATAGAGCCCTTTTTTTAAAAATGTATACAATGGAATTTATTTTAAGTTAGAAAATCAAAGCAAAAGTTGCGAATATATGTTAAAAAATTTTATGCAAGTAAAATTGTAAAAAGCTCTATATACAGTGGTGTGCAAAAAAAATGACAATCTTTTTGGAAAAAGATCAACAAGTGTAACTTCCTCAATTTTGGTCATAAAGATACAATTAAATACGGAAATAAAGGCTTAACAATTACTCTATCATTTCCAAGTATCATTTTTTCTAACAATTAATAAAATTTATATTTTATCAAACATCAAAATGGTTGCATCTAAGCAAGAATCCCAACGTCAAATGATATTACACTTCTGGCAGCAGGGAACACGAACAGCTGCTGAAATACATTCTTTGACAAAGTTTCCACTTAAAACAATCTATCGAAACCTTAAAAAAATTGAAGAAACTGGAGATGTAAAGCACAAAGGTGGTAATGGTCGTATTAAGAAAATAACAACCAATGCTTCCCGTGCAATTGGCCAGTATATTAGAAGGAATCCTACACTTTCTGCTGGATCTATTGCTGAAAAATTGGAGGATACTGGAATAAACGTCTCTCGCTCAACAGTATCAAGACACCTGACTGACCTTGGATACCGTAATGCTCTTCCCCTTTCTACACCAATGCTCACATCAGTCCATAAGCAAAAACGTGTTGAATGGGCACAAAAACACAAAGATGACAATTGGGAAAAGACATTATTTAGTGATGAAACATCTTTCCAATTGTTTCGTAATACAATAAAGCATTGGTATAAGAATGCAAGACCAATTCGCCCTATGCCAAAAGACCGAAGCAAAATATTTGCATGGGGTGGTTTCTGTGTAAAAGGTAAAACAAGTCTAACTTGTTTTAGGCGCATAATGGATGCAAAATATTTCACAGAAATATTGGAAGAGCATATCCCAGAGATAAATAGTATGCTGAGGGGTGAATGGCGGTTACAGCAAGACAATGACCCTAAGCATACTAGCCGTATTGCCCGGGAATTCCTTGGTAATAATGTCCCAGAGGTTATGGACTGGCCCTCTAATAGTCCCGACCTAAATCCAATTGAAAACCTTTGGGCCATTGTTAAAAGAAACGTGGAGAAGCGTAGACCCAAAAATCTTACTGAATTAGAAAGTTTTTTTGGTGAGGAATGGGACAAAATTCCAAATAGTCTTCTAATTAGTCTTGTAGATTCAATGCCACGATGTTGTAATGAAGTTATTGAGAAAAATGGTGAAAGGATATCATATTAATTTTTTTTAATAAAATCTGCTGCCTTTTAGCTTTAAAACAATATGTTGTACATTTAAATTGGTGTGATGGTTGTGAAACTATAATAATTTTAAAAATTGTCATTTTTTTTGCACACCACTGTACATCAAGCTAATATCTAGAGCATTCAAACATTTATTTGGCTAAAGTACAGTTTGATATAAATAATTCACAACTCATAATTGTTTAAATTTTCACTCAGATTGTAACAATCCTCGAAATAATATGTCACACAAATGGTAATTAATTTTATTACCATATTTGGTAATCAGAGGAATTCATTTTTTTATCGTTTAAGGGTAGGGGAATCACGTGATAATTTAATACAAAATCCGAGGATCAAAATTTGACTTTTCCAAAATTAATAATTGTCTTAAG